CCCAGAGTATCTACTGTGAATAGGATTTGCTGTTATTACTGCCAGGCTAGTTAAGTAGTTAAGAGCACAAACTCCGGAATCAGCCTGGTTGAGTGAAACTCCCAGCCCCACCACTTACTACCTCCGTACCCTTAGACATGGACCTTAACTTCTCTGTGCCTCAGTTCCCTCATCTGTAAAATGCTGATGGTGATTACATATGCCTCATAGGATGTTGTGAGGACTAATAAGTATAACCCCTGCCAAATGCTTAGAACAGTCCCTGGCACACCGTGAGCACTCCATGGTTGTTGCTATTGCAGTGGGAGGTCTCCTCTCTTTCCATTGAGGTTCCTGAGCTCCTGTGATGTGATCCTGGAGCAGCCCTCATCTCTTCTCAGGAAGCAGCGCTTGAGGATTAAGGCAATGTAGAAAAAAAGTAGGGTAGAGAGAGATGAAGTAAGACAACACTGGAGTATGTCTTTTGAGCACCTGGATCTAACTGTACCTGAAGCAGAACCAGAACCTATCTCTGGACTTCTCAATTCCAAGAACCAGTAAATTCCTTCTGAGCCATTCATGTGACACCTGAAGCTGCAGGGGACTTCAGGGAGGGCTGGGGGATGTGGCTGTGTGTATGTACCAGTTGCCTACCACTACATACAAATTGCTATGTATTTAGTAGTTTCAACAGCACACATTTATGATCCCCCAGGGTCTGTAGGTCAGGAGTCCAGACATGGCTTGGCCAAGTCCTCTGCCCAGGGTTTCACAAGGCTGCAATCAAGGTGTTGGTCAGAACATGTTCTCATCCGGAGGCCCGACTGGAGAAGAATCTGCTTCCAAACTCGTTCAGGTAGTTGGCAGCATTCAGTCCCTCGTAGCCGTGTGACAGAGGCCCTGGCTTTTTGATGACTGTCCCCCTCAGGTCCTAGAGGCTGCCCACAGCTCCCTGCCAAGTGAGCTCCCTCAACGTGGCTGCCTGCTTCCTCAAGCCAGCAAGCCCCTCTCGCTCTAGGCTTAGGGAACGAGACAGTCTTAGGTAACGTGACCTAATCAAGGGGGTGGCACCCCAGCCCCTTCACAATACTCTGTTGGTTAGAGGCAGGTCACAGGTGCTGTCCACCCTGAAGGGGTGGGTAGTCACAGGGAGGTGTGGACACCAGGAGTTGGGGATCACTGGGACCACCTTAGGCTCCGCCTGCCACAGAGGGGCACCGACAGCCTTGGTGTGGGTTGTGAGACCTGCAGTGCTGTCCAGACAGGTTGGCATCAGACCCACGCTTGGCTCTGGCTGCTCCACCTCCAGCTCCTACCTGATGGGCTGCTGTGGGCGCAGGACACCAGGCGTCCCCTGGGAGCAGGTCTGGGGGGCACCCAGAGGTCTTCTTTCACTCTCCCATCACTGCCCCCTCCCATGTTCACTGTGTGACCTCAGGCAGCTTGCTTGAGCCCTCTGTGCGCTGGTGTCCTCAGCTACAAAATGTATTCATCGTAACCCCAGCCCCATGGGTGGCTGCGAGGACGTAACGTTTGTCAAGGGTGTGAGTTCTGACCACGCCAGGAGGTCCCCAAATGTTTGCTTTTATTGTCGTTATTCTCTCCCTCTGCTTCCCAGTGGACCCCCTTTAGTTCTCCACAAACTTTCCCCATCTTCAGCAGGAATCTCTGCATCTCTGGGCACCATGTGAAGCCTTAGGTGTTGTGGCCGCAGGGTCTGGGAGGTGAAGGGTGAGCTCTGCCTTCTCCTCGGGGACAGAGGTTGTGTTCTAGAAATTTCAGACCTGCCCTTTCTCTGCCTCACAATGGCATCCCAGGGTGGTGAATTTTACAAAGCGTTCATATTTTATTTCTCACTCCAGCCCTATGCTCAACACTGTGTAACATTTCTGGGAACAGCCAGGCCTGGTGATTCCCGCAGGCTGGCTGGGCCAGGCCTGGTGCCTTGTCCCAGCGGAGGGGCCTGTCTCTCCTTCTTGGGGGTCTGGGGGGGCCCTCTCGGCTACAAGAACCACGTGTCTGCTGCTGCACCCCTGGGGCACCGCTGACTTGGGGCACCATGGCGACGCCTGGAGGCCCTAGGCAGGGTGGGCAGGGGATGGGCAAGGAAAGGCAGGGCCCAGTGCAGACCTGGGGGACCTGTGGGTGACCTGCTCCCATCCCCTGTCCCAGTCCTTGTCCTCAGGAGAGCATGGTGAGTGAGGGGCTGCCGTGTGCGCACGGGAGACTCACCCCCGACCTGGCCTCGTTCCGCCCTCCCTTCCTCCCCGTGAGGAGCACAGGGCTGGAGCCAGGCAACCTGGGGATGAACTGGAGTACGCCTCCTCCGATGACGAGACAGGTGGTCTGGCCTCAGTTTCCTCATCTGTGGAATGGGGATTGCGAATGACTTAACAGAGTAGGACCCGGACCAGGGAGAGGTCAGTTGCCCTGAGCGGTGGCTCCAGGTCTGTTTTGGCTCAGAGGGAGGTGCAGGCGGGCCCGGGGCAGGTAATGGAGCCACGGGAGGCCAGGTCTCCTGGACCCCAAGGGCTCATTTTATTTCACCAGCAGTGCCTGGTTTCTCCTCCTGTGCCAGGAAGGGTGGAAGAATTTGAGCAGCATCCAGAGCAGGCCCAGGACCGTGCCCACCAGCAGCATCAGCTTCAGCCCCTTGAGGACGGAGTCGGCCTTTCCTTTCCAGGCCTCCTCTACCTCTGGCTGTTCAACATCTTCTGTGCTCAGAGACGCCAGTGTATCCACATCTAACCTGGGGTTGAATCGAGCTGTCAGCTCCTGCTGCACAAAGCACTTGTACGTGGCCGTCTGGGAGACTTGCAGCCGCGAGCCGCCGTTGGAGGTGTCCAGGACGGTGCTCACGTTCTCGCCGGAGAGCTGGCCCTTCCAGGTCAAGGGGATATTGTTGGCTTCCCAGATGATGGGTCTGCAAGGGAGGACAAGGTGAGCTGCAGCACCCAGAGAGAAAGGGGGGACCAGTGTCTGAAAGGAGTGGAGACGGCAGCACCCTTCCCCCCCTGGGAACAGCAGACAGAGCACCGCTGCCGAGGAGTGCTACAGGGCGGTGAGCAAGGGGACGGAGGGGCAGGACTGCAGGCAGCTCTCAGAGCCCCGCTGCCTACTGCTCGCATGGGCCACCTGGCCAAATGCCTCGAGCTCTTCGAGCCTCCACTTCCTCATCTGAAATCTGGGGGTATCCTGACTGCACTGACCCCAAGAGGGTTATTTGGAGGAATTGGTAAGAACAGTCCCTAAATGATGTGTGGTCCCCCTTTACCTGCCTGGACCCACTTCCTCCACTCTCCCCCAGCCACACTGACCCTCCTGGATGTTCCTCCGACTTGCTGGGCACAGTCCTGCCTCAGGGCCTTTGCCCTGGCTATTCAGTCAGCCTAGAAGGCTCTCTGTCAGTGCACATGGCTCTCTCACCTCTTTTCAGTCTTGGCTTGAATGGCACCTTTCCAAAAACACCTTCCCTGACCTCCTTATTTAAAACTTTCACCTTCCCCACTCCCATCCCTCTCCTGGCTTTTATCACCATCTAAAATACTGTCTGTCTTATGAGTGTAATTAGTCTATCACTCCTCGAAGGCAGGAATCCTTTCCAGTTTTGTTCTTCATTGCATCTCAGGTACCTAGCACAGTGCTTGGCTTATATACATAAATGCTCGGTGAAAAACTTGGTAAGTGAGTAACTGAATCAGGCACATAACACGTCCATCATGGCTGGGATCAGAGGAGAGTCAACAGACAACACTGACAAGGCCGGTGATCATCAAAGCAAGAGTAATACCTATAGAGTGTGGAACCCTGTGCCAGCCTAAGTGTCTTTGCAGGCATTTGCACCCTTAGAGATCACAGTAACCCCCTGAGGCTGCGGCCAGCAAGACCTCTGTACTGAGTTGGATAGTGTCCCCTCCAAATTTACATCCTAACCGGAACCTCACAATGTGACCTTATTTGGAAACAGGGTTGTTGCAGGTGTAATTAGTTAAGATGAGTTCAGACTGGAGTCAGGCGGGTCCTAAATCCAGTATCATCTGTATCCTTAGAAGAAAAAGAGAAGAGACACAGAGATCCCACGTGAGGAAAAGGCCAAGCATGACGGAGGCGGAGGTTGGAGTGATGCGGTTACAAGTCGAGGCAGGTCAAGGGCTGCCGGCCACCCCCAGAAGCTGGGAAGGATTCTACCCAGCATGCTAGAGGGCACTGGCCCTGCTGACACCTTGATCAGACTCCTACTCTGCAGAGCCGTTAGAGGAGAAATTTCTGCTGTTTTAAGCTACCTGGTTTGTGGTACTTCGTTATGACGGCCCTAGGAAATTAGTACAACTCTTATTCTACTGATGGGAAAACTGAGGCCCAGAGAGATGCCACGGGCTCAAAGTGACACGGCAGGAAAGTGGCAGAGACTGGAACCCAGGCCTGGCTGAATCCAGAGCCCAGGACCGAAACCTCACGTGAGAGGCCGCTCCACTCGACTCCCTAGAGACACGGGCCAGTCTTGAAGCCTCCAGGACCTCTCCTCATCCCCAGCTCCCTGTGGTAGGCACTCGGGTACTCCTTGTCTGGCAAATAACACGGAGTAGGTGTCCCCGTCTCAGTGGGAGGAGGGGTTCACGTGCATACTCCTGTGCTTCTGAGTGGTGGGCTTGTATTTTGGCAGCGGGTGTTACTTTGACACTTAACGGGGGAGGAAGAAAGGAGGGAGACTGAAAACTATGAGAGAGAAAGAACAGAAGTGACAGCTGTGGTAAACAAGGGAAAGGAAACCAGATGGAGGTGGTGAGGCCAGATTCCACAGAGCCTGTGACTGCAGGGAGGGGCTGCCGCTGGCAGGTCTGGAAGGAGGGCACAGGGGTCCCCGCCGCTGAGTGTGTGAGATGCAGGCTGTGCACGGCCACCTCCCACGGAGTATCCCCCCCGGGGAAGGACGGCACCCTTCTGAGCTACAGTCTCCCCATTTATAAATGGACCCCCTTGGAGTCCACAGCTCCTGGGGCCGGGGAGGGGGATGGCATGTGGTTTATGATGATGGTTTGCCCAGGGACCAGCCCAGGGTGAAAGCACAGCACTGTGAGTGGTGGTGGGAAGCGGCAGGTGGGCTGGGGAAAACAAGAGGAAGGGGACACTTCCCAGGGGCTCCAGGCAGGAAGACAAGAACGTGAATGTGCGCTCCGGGGGCAGGTCTTGATGGGCATCTCTGGAGCACCACCCTCTCCCGGGCTTGCTGACCTCCTCTGCTGAGTCAGATGCCTCAGAGTCTCACCGCTACCTGGGCTTCCCCCAGCGCAGCCCCATCCCTTGCCTGGGCTTCTCCCATCCTGGCCCAGACCACCCGGGGCCGGGGGCTTCCCAAGGACCAGGCCTGTGGCTGTGTGATGACCAGCACGTCCATAGCACCACCTGCGCAGGGCTGGGCACAGAGTCAGCCGAGCCCTCCTTGTCTGTTAGCTGTCCTTGCTCTACCTGTGTGTGACTCAGTGGGCACCAGGAGATTCTCACCAAAGGAACATCTGAAGAAGCCAACGGAGAGAGTCGGATCCATGTAGAACCCCTCCCTCTCTGCACAGATTAACCACAAAGGCTCCCAGACTGGCAAAGCCTGGCTAGGGGCCAAGGGCAGGGCTGGTTCCCGCTTCCATCACCAGCAGATGGATCCAAAGGGGCAGGTGAGCCACTCAGATCCTGACTTCTCACTGAGCTCAAAGCTGTCAAAAGTGACGTACTCCACATCTGGTGATGTGCACTGGACACGGCAGGCTTCCACCTGCATCTCGGGCCGCATGCGGGTGAACCACAGATTCATCTCTCCCAAATAGAGCCAGCAGGGTAGGAAGTCTTCCAGGTGCTTCTCTATGTAGCAGTACCCTAGGTGTTTGCGCTCACCTGGTCCCCCACAGTGGTTACACTTCTGCCAGGGCTCCCAGTGGGTGAAGATGAGCTCCTTGCCACCCAGACTCATGGACTCATGGACTCATTCTCCAGGGGCTCTTGGCCCAGGTCTTTGTGTGTGACATGCAGGCTGGTAACATCCTGGAAGTCAATGTCATAGTGGGCCACCTTCTTGCCATCCCCGCCCCAGCAGCTGTAGAAGCCCGTCTGTGTGGGCAGTGGGTTCCGAATGAGAATGCTGCCATTGGGCACTGTTTCCATGTTGGAAATGTCAGAGGTGCTGCTGGACCGGGTGGTCCTGCCTTGCAGGAAGTAGAAGTGCCACTGTGCCCCAGAGGCGTTGCAGTGCAGGACGACGTCATTGCCTGACAGAAGGGCCCGCTGGCAAGTCCTGTGATTAGGACAGCTGATGGAAAAGTAAGATGCCAGTACTGGGACAGCAAAGCTGAGCAGCAGCCACAGGGTGGTAAGCATGGTGGGCTGGGGCTGTGGCAGTGGGCCGGGCAACACCCTAGACTTTGCGACATCACCCATGAAACTCAGGCCTCAGCCCTGAGCAGCAGGAGGAACCAGAGTCCTCCCTGTGGGGCGTGAGGTCACAATTCCCACATTTGTTCTGTGACAAGTTAACAATCCTATTTAATTTCTTTTCCAAGCTCTCCACTCTGCTGGGGTAGGAGGAAACTGTATTTATCTCTCCAGGGTTTTCTTTACCACCCTCCTGCTTTCCTCTTCAAGTGTTACATGTGAACATTCAACACATTTTTTTCTGAACACCTACTAGGTTCTGGGCACATTTCTTAGTGCTGGGGATGGAGAGGTGAATAAATCCTCTCTGGTTCCATGCTGATCTCTGTGGGTTCTGTTCACTGTGGGTTTTGTCCAGCAAAAATCCCACTGTGAAAGAACGAAATTACTCAAGATTTTATCAAGTCAAGAGAGTGAGAGGGAGCCAGAGCCCAATTCCCCGAGCTCCTCCAAAGCTCTTGTATTTACTGAGAATAGTCAAATAAAGAATTAAAGTAAAATACATCATAGGAATGAGTAAGAGGCGTGGTATACGTGCAGGGATGTAGGTGAGTAGTTTTAGTTCATGAAAAACAGAAACATTATAACCTTAATTTATACTTAGAGAGAAAGTTACAATCCTGATAGTACAAACGGTTATTTTAAGCCTCAAACAATCATGAGCAAGGTTACAATGTTGCCAACAATTGATAATGAAAACCAGATCACCACAGACCTCCTATACCTTCCCACGCAACTGCTCCAGCCATGCTGACTGCCCTGCTATCCTCTGAACATATCAGGCAAGCAAAGAGTTCCTGCCCCAGGACCTTTGCACATGCGGGTCCTCCCACAGATATCTGCATGGCTCAATTCATTTTAAATAAATTCTTTCCTAAACCCCTTCTCTGTTCTGAAATTAAAAATAATTATTATGCAGGCTTGATGTGTCAGCATTTATTCATTTCACACATTTACTGAATGCCTACCATGCGCTGGCCATCATTCTAATCAAAGTGGTGAACAGGTTAGACAAAGCCTCTGCCCCTTCTGAGCTTAGTTTCTAGTAGAAGAGACAGATAATAAACAAATACATAATACATGATGTCAGATACAGTAGATTCTTGTTATTGATGACTGTTCTATAAAGTCATTAAATTAGCAAGTGCTAAAACACTAGTCCTAGGGCAAATACAAGTTTAGGGTCCTGTAAGTCTTTGATTATAACATTTTTGTCAGCTGATCAACATGAAACCTTGTTTTATGTATGTTTTTAATTAGACACTTTCTTTACTATTTATTGTTGATTCATTAACATTGAGCTTGTAGCCAACAACAGTGTGATTCATGTCTGAACAAAGCTAATCAAACAAATACATTTTCTTCGTAAGGTGCAACACAGCCTTCTTGCACTTAGGAACACTTCACTGCGCTTGGGAACAGTTTTAAACAGAAGGCACAAAAATGCAAAAAAAAAAAAAATGGGGCACTAAATAGACCATGAAAAGGATGTTTGCTAACACTGAAGGCAGAGCGTCACCTTGCTGGACCTCAGCTGGGAATGCCATGGGAGGGAATGCAACTTTCCTGCCACTCTGTCCATGTCTGCAAATGACTAGGAAAGCACCGTGGGGGTTGCAAATACGTGTTAGTCAGTGGGTGAACTCATAAGTGTGAAATCCTTGAATCATGGGGATCGACTGTAATAATTGCCAAAGAGGAAAATAAAGCAGGGAAGTGGGGCTAGAAAGGCTGGTGTGTGTGTGTGGGGGGGTGAGCTATTTTAGGCTGGATGATCAGCCTTGTCTGTGTATTCTCCAAGGAGATGAAGTTTCAAACACCTAAAGGAAGTGAGATAAAGAACCATGTGGATATTTGAAGGGAGGACATGCCCAGGAGAGGGCTAGACCCTGGCACGGCTGCCCTGTGAGTCTATGTAACGGGTATGGGGCCAGTGACCAAGGAGGAGAGACTGAGGGGGAGAGCGCTGAGTGGGTGAGGTCCCAGTTCCATCGAGGTCTTTGCTGAGACCTCCTGCCTCCTTCTGCCTGGCACCTGAGGGCTGTGGGCTCTCCTAGTCATGCTCCAACCCCATGTGGGGGCCTCTGTATTTAACATAAGTTGTGTGCTTAGATTCCCAAACTGTGTCCTCTATGGTATCTTGCTGACACCCCCACCCCTTCTGCTCTCAGAGCTACAAAACCATCTAGAGTTTTCATCTGCCTCCCGGAATCTCATCAAGACCCTCTATCTGAGGCACATCAACATCTATACCCCTATTGCTTCCCCTCCATCTCCCTCCCTCTCTCTGTCTTTCCCTTAAGCCCAGGGAATCTTTCTAGACAGGCAAACAGGGCTATGGGGACGCTGTAAGAAAGCCCACTTCCAACTTTCACTTTATCTATGTAAGAAGTCACATTGGCTGGATGCAGCCTGAAGAGATGTTTTAATTGACCTCCCTAGGGTGTTTTTAGAATATTTAAATCAGTGGCCAACATGTAAAATCCAAGATTTCAAATGAGGCTCCAGATTCCCTGTTATTCTTTCAATAATTCTTTTGATAATATATGGGAGATTTCTGCTTACTTCTACAACTGAGTGGCTTATATCAGATGGCCCTCTTATTAATAACAAGTGTAGGCTTTAAGATAACTATGACCAATATGTCTAAGAGAGGACAAGATGAAGATACTGAATGTATGTAGAAGAATCAAATGGAAATACTAGAATTAAAAAAGCAAAATTTGTGAAATTAAGAATTCACTAAACTGGATAACATATGGACACAACAGAAGAGAGGATTAGGGAAATGAAATACAGGTTCATAGAAAAATATCTATACTAAGGCATGCAAGCGGAAAAGACAGGAAAATACAGAGAAGAGTGTAAGAGACATGAGATATGGTGAAAAGGTCTAACGTTCATGTAAATGGAGACTAAGAAGAAAAGGAGAGAAAGGAACATAAGCAATATTTGAAGAGACAGTCACTGAAAATGCTCCAAAACAGATTTAAGACATCAAGCAGCAAAGTCAAGAAGGTCTTCAAACTCCACACAGGATAAATATTTAAAACAAACAAACAAAACAACAACAACACACCGTATCTAGGTACTTTATAGGAAAACACTGCTGAAAACCAAAGCGGAAATCTTAAAAATGGCCCGAGAAGAAAAAGACACTACTTTCAAAGCGACAATCATAACACTCTACATTGGCTTTTAAAAAAAAATTTATTTATATTTTTTTACTGAGTTACAGTTAGCTTACAACATTGTGTCAATTTCTGGTGTGCAGCACAATTTTTCAGTCATACATGAACATACACATTACACTGGCTTTTAAAAAGAAATAAAGGAAGCTAGAAGGCCATTGGCATGACATCTTCAAAGCACTAAAAGAAAATGACTGCCAATCTAGAATGCTACGTGTAGAATTCTATATACCACAGTGAAAATATCCTCCAAAGATGGAGGCAAAAAACAAAGATACTTTCAGATACGGAGAGAATTCACCACAGCAGAGCACACCAAAGGCTTTACTAAAGAGAATTCTCCAGGCAGGCAGTGGGAAAATGACTCCAAATGGAAGCAAAGTAATACAGGAATGAAAAGCACCACAAGAATGAATAAACATGTGGTTAAAACTAAATTAATATTGAGAGTGTTTTAAAAGCATATCTGGCAGGGTTTAAAATATATGTAAAACAAAAATAACAAGAGTACAACAAGTGGATGGGAATAAATGAAGCTAGAATGTTGTGAGATATCTGCATTGTCTAGGAAATGGTACAAGTACAAGTTTACATGACATTCTAATGAGTGAGAAATAATGCTGCAATCTCTAGAGCAAATAATAAAAGAACAATAAAAGAACGCATATTTAGTAAGATAATAGAGAAGAAAATGGAATCATAATTTTAAAAAATACTTGGTGAATCCAGAGGCAAGAAAAGACAAAAGAACTAAAGAAGGGACAGAGCAAGTAGAAAACAAATAGGAAGATGATGGATTTAAACCCAAATAAGTTAATAATTACATTAAATATAAATGAACTAAACACTCCAATTAAAAGATGAAAATTTTCAGGCTTAATACCAAAACTAAAATCTAAATATACACTTGCTTAAAAGAGATCCACCTTAAATAAAAGAATATAGAGAAGTTGAAAGTAAAAAACATGCGAAAACATCATGTATACATTAATTAAAAGAAAATTGCTGTAGTTGTTATACCAATAACAAAAAGTTAGATATAAGGGCCAAAAGTATTATTAGAGATTTACAAGAGATATTTTATAAAATGTCAATCCAATTGGAAGATATGATCCTAAGTTTGTATGAACTTAAAAATATGTAAAGCAAAATCTGATAGTACTAAATATTGAAATACAAATCCATGATGGCATATGCGAACAAAAATTTAGTAGAGATATAGAAGATCTGAACAATATGATATAAACGTGACCTAATTCATGTATATGGAACACTGTACTCAACCTCAGAATGTTACATTTTCACATTCACATAAAAGATTTGCCAAAATTGACTGTACTCTAGGCCATACAATGAATCTCAATAGAACCCAGAAATAAACCCACATGTCTACGGTTAATTAATCTTTGACAAAGGAGGTAAGACTATGCAATAGAAAAAAAAAACAGTCTCTTCAGCAAGTGATGTTGGGAAAGCTGGACAGCCACATGTAAATCAATGAAGTTGGAACACTCCCTTACACCATACACAGAAATAAACTCAAAATGGCTTGAAGACTTAAACATAAGACAGGACAACATAAAACTAGAAGAGAACAAAGGCAAAACATTCTCTGACATAAATCGTAGGAATACTTTCTTAAATCAATCTCCCAAGGCAAAAGAAATGTAAGTAAAAATAAACTAATGGGACCTAATCAAATTCATAAGCTTTTGCACAGCAAAGGAAACCATAAACAAAATGAAAAGACAACTTACAGACCGGGAGAAAACATTTGCAAGTGATGCGACTGATAAGGGCTTAATTTCCAAAATATACAAACAGTTCATATAGCTCGATATCAAAAAACAAACAAAAAAACCCCAAACAATCCAATCAAAAAATGGGCAGAACTAAACAGACATCTCTCCAAAGAAAACATACAGATGCCCAACAGGCACATGAAAAGATGCTCAGTGTTGCTAATAGAGAAATGCAAATCAAAACCACAATGAGATGTCACCTCACACCAGTCAGAATGGTCATCACCAAAAAGTCTAAATAATAAATGCTGGAGAGGTTGTAGAGAAATGGGAACCCTATCACACGGTTATTGGGAATGTAACTTGGTGCAGTCACTATGGAGAGCAGTATGGAGATTTCTTAAAAAGCTAAAAATAGAGTTACCGTAGGATCCAGCAATCCCACTCCTGGGCATACATCTGGAAAAGATGAAAACTCTAATTAAAAAAGATACATGCATCCAATGTTCATATCAGCACTAATTACAAGTGCCAAGACATGGAAGCAAACTAAATAACCATAGACAGATGAATGGATAAAGAAGATGTGGTACAGACACACACACACACAATGGAATAAGAAAGAATGAAATAATGCCATTTACAGCAATGAGGATGGATCTGGTGATTATCATATGAAGTGAAGTAAGTCAGACAAAGAAAGACAAATATAATATCACTTATATGTGGAATCTAAAAAATAAAAAGATACAAATGAACTTATCTACAAAATAGAAACAGACTCACAGACATAGAAAACAAACTTATGGCTATCAAAGGGGAAGGGGGTG